TCCAGAGCAGTGTTTTGCTCTTCTTTCAGTGAAGAAATACTCTGTAATTCCGATAAAACTTGCTCGATAGCCAAGCTAACGCTAGTTTCATCGGCTGAGGCCGCCATGTTCTTTAGACTGAACTGTCGCGCTTTTCGTTGCGTCACACCTCAACCCGCCTCAAAGCCAACGCTGATTGGACGTTCGTTTGGTGAACTGCTCCAAATTTTCTTCAACGGAGAGTCTCCAGACTGACTAGCGAGCGAAATCTTGAAAGCTCGCGAGATCAGGATGGTCTCACGAGGCTAATATACTAAACCTAGGACAACAAAACATCATTTTCTCAAAGATAAGAGCAGTTTTTTTTTATTTTCTCCAACTATTTCAAAACAAATAACATGCACTTATAAAGGTAATACAATTACCTTTATAAGTGCATGAAAAGTGGTTGAAATATTTTTCTTAAATATTCTCTGATTCTGTACCACAGCAAAATAGCAGTCATCATGAGAATAAAAACACATCAACTTAGATGTGATCAGGATTTGAAAGAAGAATAAAAGCAAAACTAAAACTATAATATATATAATAAGAAAACAGAATGTAACATTGGTCAGACTTGTAAGATTGATTTGATCCACCTTTTATCAGTTTAGACAGATCAGAATTTAGGTTTATATGTAAACTTGATTTAGATCTCGAAATTTTATATTTTTCAAGCACAATTTAGACTAAACAGTAAAAATACCTTGACGTCCCAAAAAAAAAAAATTAAAGTCTTTATATCAGTAAAAAATACCCAAAGCATAAACCAAATCTTTACGGATTTCCTCTTGTTGCAGTACTGTGGTAAAATTAGCCCTGTGTTGAAAAGTTTTCAGATTTTTATGTATGTAAATAAAGTTACTTAATATTATTTAAGGTGTCATCTGGTGTCAGCGCCAGTCGGGGAGCTCTTCCAACACTTTAGCGCTTCCCACACTATCACTGCACAAAGTCAGTGTCACAGAAGTCAGACAAACTGAAGGTGACAAAAATCTTTGAATTTTTAAGAAGTGTGTCCTGAGCGCTCAGTAAAACACGGCTGGAGTCTGAGCGCTGCGTTTTCTGTATGTAGAGCAGAAGAAGGGGCAGAGCGAGGAAAGGGTGATAGGCAGCGAGGGGAGGAGGCGAGAAGAAGGAGGGGTGAGGATGTTAAGAGGAGGTGGAAGCTGTCAAGGCTTTACTCTCAGGGTACTCAGTGGAGGAAAAAATAAGCCACAGAATCTAGGATGCCTTCAGGTGTTAAAACATTTTTAGATTTTTAATCATTTCAAGTGGAGCTGCAGGATACAGCAAACCGAATCAAATTTTCCGGGCTAAAAACAAGACGCAATAAATACTGTTATTATTTTTTTTCTTTATTTTCTTCCCCTCCTCGTTAACAGCTTCCCTTTAAACCTCACATTTCAAATCAAGTGGCGTGATGTCCTATTTATGCTCCGTTAACATCACATAATGTTTAATAAGATGTGAAGCACATTACTAGAGATGCTCTGGAAAATTTTAACAATCTCGAGGATATCCGTGGCTTTTCATTAGAGAAGATAAAATGTAGCAGAAACTAATCTAAAAACACAGAAGAACAAAGCTGTGTTAGCAACATGAGGATGGATCCAATTAGAGAAAAAACTGCAGAAGTATCATTCTGCACATATTCAGTTTCCTTGTTTATATATATATATATATACATATACATACATATATATATATATATATATATATATATATATATATATATATATATATATACATATATATATATATATATATATACATATATACATATATATATATATATATATATATACATATATATATATACATATATATATATACATATATATATATACATATATACATATATACATATATACATATATATACATACATATATACATATATACATATATACATATATATACATATATACATATATACATATATACATATATACATATATACATATATATATATATATATATACATATATACACATATATATACATATATACACATATATATACATATATACATATACACATATATACACATATATATATATACATATATACATATATACATATATATACATATATACATATATAAACATATATACATATATACATATATATACATACATATATACATATATATATATACATATATACATATATATATACATATATATATATATATACATATATACATATATATATATGCATATATACATATATATATACATATATATATATACATATATATATATATATATATATATATATATATATATACATATACATATATATATATATATATATATATATATATATATATATATATAAGTAAGCAAATTACCCTTGCAGTTCTGCAGCCACAAACAGTCCCCGCTCTAGATAAATTGGTAATGCATACAAAAGGAAGCTTTGTGTTGTGAAAAGTGTGCCTGACTTTGTTTTTTAAAACATACTCTCTCAGTTCTGCAGTCTTGGGTGTCCTTTTCCATCACTACAACCTCCTTCTCCCCCTCGGTTCTTGGACCAAATGCTTTAGAGGAAAAGCTGCATAAATGTATTAATATAGGTGAGCTTGCAAGCTACAGTCTGATATAAAGGTTAAGATTAGGATTTGTCCGTTTGTTTCAGAATGTAAATAGGAAATTATGTTCAGATCAAATTCATGTTGGTCTGGATTTTTCTACCCTTTCATACATAGTGATCACTACAGTCTACAGCTGTTTAAAATTAATTTTCTTACTATATATATATATGCCTAAAATTTAAAATTTTGGGCACTTATGCATATAGACCAAACTAATGGAGGTTATTGCATCATCTCATACAAAAAATGCCATTTATTGATAATCGCAATGGAAAAAAAAAAGAATCTGTGAAACCAAGATGGCTGACGCATAGGGAAAAATATCCCAACAGAATACCATATTAAAATTTAAAAAACTACAGTACAAATATATATATGCAACTACTTTTAGTATTAATTTTTTAAAAGTATAAAATGCATAAAGTAAACTTGAGTGGACATATGAATATTTAATTATAGAATGTAGATAAATGTTTTTTTTTTTACATTCCTAAGGATGTATAAAACCCTTTATGAAGGTATGAAGAAATACTAAGTTTATAATTCATGCATGAGAGGGTTAAATGGAAACTGCAGACTTTCTAATTTATTCCCCTTTACAGTATTTGTTGAACAGCCAAATATATGAAGCCCTTTGTACTCCTCACATGACCCTTAAGACGTTGTCAAAACCCTGGATAGACCATGAAGGTTCAGATTTAATTTTAGATTGCAGCCCTTGTTGTGCCGGTACATTCATTAACGTTCCTCTTTTTAACCTCATTAAGAGGTACGGCCATACTTTCTGATAAATGAATATAGGAGAGAGGAACCTTCTGAGTAATGACACACGAGGCTCCATGCCTGGACCAGTTTAGTGTAGACTTCATGTAAACAGTATTACATAAATGTTCACATGTAGGCAGACGACACTGTGGTTTTTACATATGCAGGAAAAATCAAAGAAACATCTTTTATTCTGATATTATCTGTTTAAAAATTTGAAAAACACAGTAGGTATCTGCACTCTTTGTTTTTTTTCACAAATTATTTTAAATAAAACTTGAAGAAAAACTCTTAAAGCTACAGTCTGTAACTTTTAGCGACATCTAGCGGTCAGACTGCAGCAACATGAACATCTCTCCCCCAACGCTTCTCCCCCCCAACCGTACGGCGAGCGTTACGGGACAGAACGTCTTCCACGACGTCCGCATCACCTACCTTCTCAAGTGATGAGGTTTGTTTACATAGATAATTTTACAGATAGTATTTCATTAGTCTGTGTAGGGTACAGATTTCATGTAGACTTAAGATAATAAATATACCCGTTATTTTTTCTACATCGTTGTGACATTTTGGCGATCTCGCAATCGCTAGTTTGTTGGCTCTGCGCTGCCGTAGCGCAAAGATGTCTGCCTCCATGGCTGCGAGACCCGCTCCTATGTAATTATAAATAACGAATTCTAAGGCAACGCAAATATTAAGGTTAAGAGGCTGAGCTCGTAGATGATGATAAAATAACATAGTTATGTATAATATATTACATTTCTGACTGTATATCCCTGTAATTATTACACACTGTAGCTTTAAAACTTTAAAAACTTTAAAAGCCTTTTTGATTTCACCACAATAACGGAATTTCTCTCACTTTTGAATATGCTTGTTTTCTGCATGAGCTCTTCTCATCATCTGATTGATGGTTAAGTAAAAGAGACGAAGAGGTATTTGGTAAAACTGTAATGCCTATTAATTGTGGTAAGTTTTGGTAAGTTTACAATCACCTGTTTTATCGCTGAAGTTTTCTTTAAACCGACTGGTTAAATCCGTAATATTAACAGGGTTCTACCTTGGCCACAGGTAAATAAAATTTTAAAGTTTGAACAATCAAATAGAGGAAAAACCAAGCAGCTGGCTGCCGTGGTGATGAGGGGATGAGCTGTTTTCATCAGTTTAAGACAAACAGGAACTAACGGCTCAAATAATCTGTAACAGTGAAAACTAGAAGCCATAGTGCAAAGAATACTGAACTGTTTGTGAGAGAAAACTATGCCTTTTTAAAGTTTAGTGAGTGTTTAACTTACGAGCCACTTTTCTCAGCAGTACACAGGAAAAATTATCTAGAAATAAGTACAAATTTCTTAAATTAAGTTTATTTACCCTTAATTTGAGTACGGCAGGTAAATTAGATAGTTTGCCAATGGAATCAGTATTTTTACAGTATTTTATAATTAGATAAAAAGGATTTGAAATAAGACAATGCAATTGTACTTTCTTATTTTAAGTGTAAATTATCTTGTTCAAATGGCAAAATGTTTCTTTTACCTCCTTAATCCAAGAACAAATGCACTTATTTTAAGGAAAAAAATTACTTATCAAGATTTTGATTTTTTCAGTGTATTTACCTGTATCGAGTTCTCCTGCAGGTTGAGGTATCGCGTGTTGACGGATATGCTTTCAGGCACCTGCTCCAGGTTCTGCCTGGTGCAAATGACTCGGCTGGCCTGGTTGGAGCACGTGCAAAGGGAAGGGCAGGTGGAGGAGGCTCCCGTTATTTCCGGCCCGTGGAGGATGAGAAAGAGCCGCAGGAGCAGATGGACCAATAGAAAGAGGAAGGGGGAAGGGCCGGGAAGGCAGGTCAGCGTGGCGATGCGCATGGCAACTGGGACATGACCCTGCTCTTTAATCCGGAGATACAGGTGAGGTGACTCCACACTGGTGGATTTAAGGTTTACTTTCCCTTCGGACCTCCAGCATCAATTTGTTCCCTCTAATTCCACATCCTCTGAGATCTCATTTGTCCTCTGTCAGTCTGTTTTCTCCTCTTGTTTCTTGAACATAGAAGTATGCAGATAAACAGATGTTCTTTTTTTCCTCTTTCTTAGGCTGTCAGGAGATTTGACTGAGGCGTTTTGTGAAGTGAGAAGAACCCAGGAGTTACTGCGATGAGCAAAACAAAGACAAAGAGAGAGAAGCAGATATTAGAGACGAAACACAAACTGCACTTTGTGTCTTCACCAACACACGTCGAACAAAACAAACAATAGCAAGACATCTACAGTAAGGCTTATCAGGGGAGGGATTGTCAAAAAAATCTGTCAGAAGTATTAGAACTTCTGTGGCGCTGCTCACATCAAATCCCACATAATCCCTGAACAGATATTCTGCCAGTAATCAAATCCCTTTGCACAGTAGCAGAGGATTCTGGTGTTTTTTAATTGTTAAAAGGTTTAGACAACAAAACGCAAAGTAAAGAGAAAACATGTGTTTCTACTGACATTACATGCATGTGATTTACACAAACGACTCAAGCTGAAGTAAAAGAGGAATATATGGAAAAATCTTCCTAAATAGCATTTAAGTGTTCTGCTGTATAAAAAGTCATTTAAATCGCAAGCATGGATTTCCTGCTATTTTTAGTCTTTAAACAAATTGTGAAAAATAGCACTTAGTAAGGAATATTTGGGAAATTCTACGCCAACCATGTGCTTTTGCAATCATTAATAATTGAAATAATTGCAAATTCTACTTAAATCTTTCAGTCCGGTTAAGGTCTCAGCTAATTTCTGCTGCTTATACCAGTGTAACCAGTTTAGATGCATGTTTGGTTTGGGATTCTTCTTCTGGAACATTCAGGTTGGTGCAAGTTTTAAACGCCAACCCATGGATTTATGGCTAACGTTAACCCTTTCACCCCATTGATGCAATGCAACAATAAAAGTGGAAACAAAATTGCCCCACAGTATGATGGTGCCACCACCATGCCTTAAAATGGGTAGAGAACTCTAGGCCTCCTTAAAACAGTGAAGCCGATAAAAGGGGGATCACACATTGTTACGGCTGCAGTGGGTTTCTTCACTCTTCCTTGCAGGGTTCTGGATGCAGGCCTTCTGCAGGTGTTCTGTTTTGCCCTAATTGGTGCTCGTCTGCTTTAAAAGCTGTCATGCAAGCAGCAGACAGGAGGCTTCTCTCTTTTACCTCCTCAGAACCCCGTTTGGCTTGGTTTGGTTTGTATCCTGTCCTATGGTTGGGTTTTTTTAGGTTTGGTTGCATTTGCTTATTTCTGTTTAGTTATTGGTTTTGCATTAAGCCATTTTCTGTTCCCCATTTTATTTACCCCTTTTCAGGTATTGTTTCTTTATTATAATTTAATAAATTCAATTTTTACTTTAAAGAAACTCCTTGTGTGGTCTCCTTTAATGTTACCCCCACCAAACAAGCCTGGTGGACGTAACATACATATAATAATCAGACACAGATAAAAAATCTTCATAAATAAAAACACTAAGTATCCTCAGGAGACACAAAAAATTAAAAACCCAAAGAAGAAAACCATAAAGTATTGAACACTAAACACCTTTTGTAGCTTTTGCAAGAAACATTAGAAAAGTCTTAAAAGATGTAAGCAAACTTATGAGAAAATTATGCAGCTTTATATCCAGCACAGTAATCGCATAAAGTGTAGATTGTGCTGAAGTAGTCTATGATTTCTACTTTTCTGCCAACTCCTTTCCTAGAATGCAAGACAGTATTAGATAGAGGCAGCATGATGGTTTGGGACAGGATCTTACTCTAAGGATAACAGGGCTTGTTTTTTGTTTTTCTAGAGGTCAATACAAAAAAAGAGAGACTTGCACACACAAAAAAGGGCAGATTAGGAATGGGAAGGCAATCCCACAGCACTCTGTGATCGAGTTAGTGACTCTGAGTAGCTCCTGCTATAACAGTACTGAGACATTAAAGTCATTTCGCTAAATGTGATTTTCTAGTTTGCATTAAATTTGTTTTGTTATTTATCTTTTTAATTACCTTGTTTTTCATGTTAGCCATTATATCAGCTGCTTGAATTGCTCACAAAATTTCGTTGCTACCAAGATTAGAAGGACATTATGGCTTATTTTTTTTTATAAAAAATGTCTTTTTCAAATTGCCACGGTGTCGTATTTCTTCAAACTTTAATCATTCAATCCAATAGAAATCACCAAAAAGATAAAGTCAACAGCAGAATAAACTGTTTGGCATTGGCATTTTAAACTGACTTTTCCTTCCAAAAACAGACAAATTTAAGGGAAAAGGAACAAGCTTTCCTATGATATCTCAACATAACATGTTATATCTTTTTTTTCTATCTAAGCTAATGTTTATATTTCTTTCCTCAACGGCTTTAAAAGACACACAAAAATATAAAACAGTCTGCTAAATAATGAGGTTCAATATATTAGCAATGATATTAGTATTGGTCACATCAATATAGGTCTGATAAGTAAAGCAGGGCCAATATTAACAAACACGAGCTGTATGTTGGTAAATATTGGTTATCAGCAGTGAAGGAGCTAGATTTTTTTTGGTTGGGGGAAGTTGAAGGGAAATAGCTCCTCTTTTACTATAAAAATATGAACCACAACATTTCTTTTATGCTTACAAACAAGTAAGTAACTTTTACTTAGATTTTGCTTTGGTTACTTTTACTTTTATTTTTACTTTTTTAAGTAACAATTTGAACTGGTAACTTAAAGGTATTGTGTAAGATTTTTTAAAAGACCTGCCCTCTCCACTTTAAAAAACAATGCGTGTGCAGAGCATGCAGGAACCTATCTCTCCTTGTGCACGCCCTGTTTAAAATGTGCTGTTCTCATAACTCATACAAGCTTATTACTGTCTCCACTATATACTGTAGTGGGCTATATAGAAAACTCAGTTAACTGACCAATTGGAAAGATGATCACTGCTTTTTGCTCCGGTGGTCACTTAACTCCTCCTCCACCGTGCAGTGCCTGCACCATCTTTGCTATTAGTCGCCCTATGGCGACAACGGGCCGCTTTGACAGCAAATCCCATATTATGCTGCAAGGCGAGCTCTCCGTGCAAAGCATTCTGGGATATATCTGCCTCTTCTGAGGCCTTTCTTTTCTTCTCACAAACTTCCTAAACATTTTTTTCTCTTACGACCCTCTGCCATTTTCAAAGAACTGTGGTGAGAAATGTGAGCTTTAATGACTGTCTGAAACCGTAGCTCACCACAGATATATATGGCTGAAAAATAGCTAAGGGGATGAGCCCTTCTGACGGCCTTACGTTAACATATTTATTTATTTATTCGTTTATTTGATAGGGACAAGTACCGGTATGTTTCATGAAACATGTCACACACTACAACATTTTAGCTAAGGCTAATTCTCAATGCCTGTCCCCAGAATGATTGACAATTAGGATGACCACTTATTTAGATGATCCACATGGAAATAAAAGACTGTCCTCTATACCTTTTAATTGTGTTTGAGTACAATTTTTAACTAAGTAAGCTAATACAGTGAGGTCCAGCATCCCCCCCCCCAGTCCCGGCCCTTGTTATCAGTCCAAAACAACAATATTATTACCAGATATCAATATTGGGTTATAGTTTCATATTGGTGCATCCCTACTGCTATTTCTTGATTTTAAAGACTACTGCTTATGTGTTACATATTTAGTCTCATTTGGGGAAAATAATTTCTGTTCGGTAAAAGCCCTCATATACTGTAATGACTCCCTTTATTTAATCCATAAGCAGATGTACAATTATAAATGTATTGACCTTACTTTTATGTGTAAGATAAATCCAAAATGCAGATTTTCTGATAATAACGATTTTATAAGACTATCACCCTAAGTGTTGAAGAACTCACTGCATAATGCCCTTCATCAAGCAGGAATATTGTTTTCCATACAGTATCCCTTCCTTATCAGGCGAAAGAGAAGAAAAGGAGAAAGAGAACAAAATAAAACTCACCATAAGTGACCATCAATTAAAAAAGTCAAACACAACTCTGCTGACGGGGAGCGATGGGGATTCTGAGGCATTTAGTCTAAAAGTCTGAGAGCCATTAATAACATCACTAGTGTGAGGTGGAGGCTTGCAGTCATCTCTGCCACGCTCTCATTTGTTAACACTAATTATACCAAGGTATAACAATTAATACGACAATGATGGATAGATGTTCGAACATGCCACACTTATGAACTGCAATTAAACTCAGACTTATTAAAGGTCCAAAGCCTGAAAACAACAAGCCCACCCATTCCAGTGGCATTTTCCTGCAGCAGACACAGAGGTGGGACCAAAATGCTAATGTCATTGTTGCGCTGTATGCTCCGGGGGCCGCAGAATGGGCCTGGAATAGTGCGGTCCACATTACTTCTAATAAATGACCGGTCAAGACAGACTCTAGCAGCCCTGAGGAGGGAAAAAAAAGGAAGCCTCTGCTCCCCCTGCAGGTTATTTAGGCCTGAATAACCCCAAATAAGGGCATCCAGTAATCTGGATCCGGTTATTAATGATGATGGTTGTAATGATGGGACGTTGACACGAAAACCCATTTGACACGCTGAGCATCCTAAAGAAAGAAGACGTGGGTTGGGGGTGCAGAGAAGGTGAAGAAGAGAGGGATTATTAATCTGATAGATGACTGTATGGCTGCAGGCAGAGGAGGGAATTATCAACACTACAGTAATAGATGAATACTGAACAGCTGCAGAGAGAGAGGGCCAGAGAAAGAGAGACAGGCAGGAAGAAAGAAATGGAGATCGAGACAGATGGAGGGAAGGCTGGGTGAAAGGGATAGAGGTATAAATAGTAGAAGGAGCAGGAAAGAGATCAGTAGTAGAAAAAACGAGTAAAGGAAAAAAGAAAGAGGTATTAATATTAATATTCTGGGAGAGAAAGAGGAGAGGAGAGAGCCAAGCTCAACAGAGATGAATATAAGACAGACAGAGATGGAGGGAGGGGGATGATAACACAGAGAGGCACATAAAAAGAAGAGATGGAGCTAAAAGACAACACACAGGGATGAATATGAAACAGGTGGAGTTTTCCTACAGGGGGGAGTGGGCGGATAGGTGGGCTCGGATTGGTTGGGCACGACTGATCAATAATGCGTACGCTGAAGTTCAATGACATTAAA